AGGAGCTCGGACTAAGTACAGCGGTCTGGAGTTCGGGCTCGGTAGTGAGTTTGGACTTGCTTCCGATGTTCGCTTTGGGTGCTCTACTATCCCGAGCTGCTTGCCTTTGCCACGTGTTGGGCGATCGCGAGGTCGGGCCAAATTTCCCTTCATCACTAGATAAAAAAATAAGAAAGAAATCCACTGCCACATCAATTCTAATATAGTCTTTTATTTTTAGTCCATTATTATAAAGAGAAATTGTCTAAAACTCAGGATTTTTCTAAAGGCTCGGGCAACCCATGTCAGTAACTTCACCTTAAACGGACTAATGGTGTTAATAGATTACTATTTTACCCTTTCTGTATTAGACCTATTTTTTAATATTTCAGAAATATATCTATTATTATTATTATTTTTATTATTATTATTATCAAAACCCATTTTCAGCTTTCTTGGAATATTTTCAAGTAGCACAAAGAGAGCAAAAGGTCCCTCAACAAGTAAAAATCTTATATAAGGCAATTGGGCACTTAGGGCATTATAGTCATAAAATATATATCTATCCAATAAAGCTGATTCACCATTTAAGGGCGGTTTGTATTTATCTTGACAAGGACAACTTCTATCAATGAATGCTAACGATAATCTAACAGACGGTGAATTTTGGAAAACAAATTGACATGAGATTTCCTCGATATTTTGAAAAATTATGATGAACTTAAGGGAAATACTGAAAAGTCATGGCCAATTTTAAACACTTATGCCTTAAATTTTAAGATAATTTAATTTAAATATAATATTGAAAAACACTTATAATCAATCAACTGTTATCATAAAAGTCATAAAAATTAGAGAAAATTCCCGATTAGTACCTTGTACTTTGGGCTTACTGTCATTTTGGTCCTTGAATTTTAAAATGTGACAATTTAGTTCCCGAACTTTCAAGATATGCCAATCCAGTACCTATCTTTAATCAGCTGTTAATTAGCCGTTAAGTGGCATTTGAAAAAGACACAAATGCACTTTGAGTGTCATCTAATTTTCTTGATCAACTATCAAAATGTTGACAAAAGTTAATAGTCCCAAATCCTTGCCTTTTCTATTCAAGAAAGTTGGGGTCTGTTAATTTTTTGTCAATGTTCTTGAATAGAAAAGTTAAGGATTTGGGATTGTTAATTTTTTATCAACGTTTGAATGGTTGATAAAGAAAATTAAATGACACTTGATGGGCATTTTTTGTCTTTTTGAAATGCCACTTATCGACTGATTAATAGTTGATTAACGATAGGTACTGGATAGACACATTTTGAAAGTTCGGGTACTGAATTGTCGCATTTTAAAGTTCAAGGACCAAAGTGGCGGTGGACTCAAAGTACATGATACTAATTGGGAATTTTCTCTAGGGCAATTTTTTGGGTAGATTACAAAGACCCCCTTCCGTTAGTCTTCCATCCAAAAGGTCATTGCAATATTTTTAATCCCCATACTATCCTTGGAATAATTAGACGAGAAAAACACTATTCATCTTCCCGACCTTTTAATACTACCCTTTTGTTCCTTCACATTTCTCTCTCTCCCCCGATCTCTCTTCTTCCCCTTCCCCTTAAGAGCATTGGGATTGAACCCATTTAATTCAATCCCAACCTCTCTCTCCATTACTGCTTTCTTCAGATCCCGATTTCTCTCTCTCTCCATCTGCCTGCTTCCCTAGCTGTGAAATTGCAGAAACTATTCAGTAGAAAAAGAAAAAATAAGTACGGAGCTGCCGTCCATGAGGCCTCACCATGACTAAAAACCAAGTAGTGACGTGTAAATTAACAGCATTTACAGTTGAAGATGACCGTAAGAGCTTCTTTAGACGGAAACTGAGAACAGAAATCGGATTCAAACTCTTAGAGCTAGTAAATCAAAACCGATCTGTTCTACTTAACCCTTTTCTTCAGTACCAGATCAGTACCAGATCAAACATCAACCAAGCTCCAAATAGGTTTTGGGAGATTTCAATCTTGACTTAGATGTCCAAAAGCAATCTCATGACAACGGATGAGCTTGATTTTCAGTTTTTAGGGCTTCCAAAGCTGGAATCATCGATGGAGGAGCCATGGAAATAGTAGAAGGAAGAAGGTCTGGTGTAGTTTTACCATAGTATCCAATAATGTGTTTTTTTCACCTCAGCGATTTTATCCTACGTTTCTGTTATTGGATAGAGAGTGAAAATAGAAACTAACTCACCATTCATCAAGCCCATTTTATTTTATTCTATTTTTTATTTTTGTTTACTCTATTAGAGTTTTGAATGGAGACGGAGGTGAAAGTATCTATGTGGATGTCCTTGGTCACAACGCCATCGGTAAAGGAAGGATTAGCAGCAGTAACAGGTCCTTCAGGTCGGGATGTGACGCTGAAAGGATTGCTATCATCAAATGTAATTTGAGTTCGGCTTACCTTTGCAACTGCAAGTGTTGTAGGGGAGACGACTCCCGCTCTCCAAGTATGCAGGAGGGGAAAAGAAAGAATGAGAGAGGATGGTGAGGGAAGGGAAAAGAAGAGAAGGAAGGGAAAATAATAGGTTAAATAGGTTTTAAGAGATAAAGGGAAAAAAAAAAAGAAAATTGAAAGAGTTTAATGGGGTATTTTGGTAATTTAACGGATTTTGTCATTTGACTTAACGGTCAAGGAGGGTCTTTGTCTCACGGTTATAGTATAGGGAGGTCTCTGTCACAAACCCCATAGTACGGGGGGGTCTTTGTAATTTACCTTTTTTTTTGACATAATGGCATGGGAGAGCAATAATTGGTGTATGCTACATTGATTTGACACTAGAGAGGTGCATGAAGAACTAGGAAAGATATTTGGCTTGATGCCAAGTTCTCTCGTGGCTCTCCGGTAAACATCCATGGTAATTGACATAATATAAGGGCAACTTTTGGGGTTTAATATCAAAAAGTAATATATTGAACAAAAATTCAAAACTAGGTTTAACTTTTTAAAAATAATATCAATAAAGGGCAAAAATATTGTTCATCTTCTTTTTCTTGCCATTTTTTAACTAGAACTGCCGCCCACCACCGCCATCCTTTGCCGGTTCCGCCCACCTTCGCCTCCACCTCCAGCAATGTTGCCAGAGGTCGCCGGAGGCAGAGGTGGCAGCGGCGACGTTGGTGGTTTCTCTATCCAACGCTGCCACCTCCGCCTCCGCCTCCGACAATGTTGCTGGAAATGGGTGGAGGTAGGTGGCGGCGACAGCGGGCAGAGAAATGACCACCAGCACCGCCGCCACCACCTCTGCCTCCGACCACCTTTGGCAACGTTGCTGGAGGTGGAGGTGGGCGAAGGCGGCAATGGAAGTTGGTGGCGGGCAGTGGCGAATCTGGTGAACAAATGGCAAGAAAAAGAAGATGAACAATATTTTTGCCCTTTATTGATGTTATTTTAAAAAAGTTAACATATTTTTGAAATATTTTAAAATATATGACTTTTATTGATATTAAACCCCAAAAGTTGCCCTTCTTTGAAACCCAAGGATATTCCCACGTTTATCATGTGGACAATGCCCCCATAAGCGTCCCATACAATCAATGGGGATATCTGTCCTCCAGCACAAATTTCAAGGACTCAAATTTCACCCAAAAAAGTGAAAAAAAACCCAATTTCCAATAATTTCAACATGTCAACGTTCCTTCCATCTTCACTTCCTTCTCCGGCGCTGGAGTTCATTCCCGCAGTCACATCGTTCGAAGATGAAGTTCCCATATATTGAAATCAAAAAGGGGTTTTTATTGTTTAGTCCACCCCAGAAATCTGACCCCCACCATACTGTATGGTGAGATGAATCTTGATGGTGGAGGATGTTGTTTATAGGGGGACTACTGGTAGATTAGGAGGGGACTGTAATTTCAGATTTCTAAAGTGGATTGCAGTCTACTTATCCCAGTCAAAAATAAGGGAATCCAATGATTGCTGAAATGACTAGCCAGAATTTACACAGAAAACGTTGAATAGTCGATTCCACCTTGCTTATGATCACCTCCACCAGAGCAGAATTAACGTAAGGCTACATTTGAAATCAGTGTAAAATGTCATTAGTGTAAAAATACACTGATGACGTTTTACACTAAACTAGAAAGTGACTGTTACATCGATTATCGATGTAAAACTTTAGAGTTGATGAGGGTTTACATCGATTATCGACGTAAAACTACACTCCATCCAAGCATACACAAAACTGAACCAGAGTATAGTTTTACGTCAATAATAATTACACCCTCTTTCCAAATACATACAAAACTGAACCCCGATGTAAATTTTACATCGGTTCTTGATTTACATCGCATCCAAATGTAGCCTAAAAAATTCAGCTTCTTCCAAACTATCCAACAGATGGCAAAAAAGAAGACAGCTCCATATGAATTTTCCTGTGCTTGAGAATAGGCACGTTCTCCAAGAAGATAATAAATCAGCCAATGTGTGAGGGAGTATCCGTTGGACCTGCATAAAGAAGTGGCACCACTTGGATATGTTCTATTCATAATGTTTGAGAGGCTTCTTGCCCATGCTAAGAGGGAAGAGGCAAAACAAACCTTCATATTCTCAGGTGATGTATTCTATAACACAAAACATTATAATAGGTTGGGAAAAATACAAAAAAAAAAAAAATAGAGTGAAGAAGAAAAAAAAAACTGCACATGTTCAATGGTGCCAGTGGTCACCAGTGATGCCAGAACGAACACCGGCACTAGAGAAGGAAGTGGAGATGGAAGGATGCTGAATAGGGGTGCTCCGTAGTCAAATCGAGAGAGAGGGCTGAGCGAAAATAGGGGCTTTTGGTTTTTTTTTTCACCTTTTGGGTGAAATTTGGGTCTGCACGCATTAGAGATAGAGGAATTCACATCTATGCCCCACAATACATCCCGACCTTGTATTGGGAACATCTCTTGATGATAAGTATGGGAGATGATAAGACATTATCGAGAGATGTTCTAAATACAAGGTCGGGATGTGCTATGGGGTATTGTGGGGTGCAGATGTGAACTTGAGATAGAGTTTGTGCAGGGGACAAATGCCCTTGTTTGATTGTGTGGGTCGTCTATGGGACACTGATGCGAACTCAATGATGCCTTCACCTCTTCTTTTTTTTTTTCATTTTAAGAAATTAAAGAGGAGCTACGCAAGCCTAGGTAGCTTGGCCCTAGAAGCCTTCACCTTTCTCGTGATACATAAATTGAGAGTTGAACCAGTGGTGACTCGAGTCTTGCAAGGAATTTTTTAAGCGGAAGCTAAACAATAGAAATATATGAGTAGACAATTATTTTATATTTTAATTTTTTTAATAATCAATAATCAATAATTATTTATATTTTATATATTGTTTTTACTATTTTTTTGCAATACAAAAATAACAGTAATTAATTATAGCTAAGGTTATTCATCAAACCGATGAAACCGACCAGACCAACCTTATTCGACCCGAGTTAGTCACTTTCTAGTATTTCTGTTCAGCTTCAGTTCAGCAATTTCCCAACTTCACCATGTTAGATGAGTTTTAGTTTGGCCACTTGTAAACCGACCCGACCATAGATATATATTAACATTTTATATTTTAAATACAATTTTTAAGTATAGGAAAGTAGGAAAATTCCCTTATTTCTTAATCTAAAATATTTTATATTGTAAATTTAGATTTTAAATTTATTTTTTAATAATATCCTTCTAATTTTTTGGAATTTAAATTTAATTTTTAAGGTTTAAATTTTTTGAACCGGCTAACCAAACTGAAAATCGACCCAAACCAATACCAATGTTTTTAATTTGTTGTTGACCCAACCGGTTGAACCCTTTCAAGCATCACCCAACCTTGATTCTAGGTTTGGTTTTATTAAAACAAGCCCTTTCAGTAAAAAACCATTGACTTGGTCAAAACCCGCCTGACCCAGATGGTTTAACCGTTGACGCATTCGACCTAGTCACTAGGTTGCGGGTTGCACAGTTAGTTAATGTATGTGCAAACTTTCAAAGGCCATAACTTTACACTTCGATGCCTAATTAAGGTGATTTTTTTTTTTATTTTGGGTAATTTTTTAGTATCTATGTGCCCAAGGTGCCATGCGTGCCTTGCCCAACTATTTTTGCACAGTTAAATTGGTGACCGTAACCTAGATGCAAAAGTGGGTGGGTATCTATGTCAGTTTTTAAAACATTGATCGATACAACTCAAGTTGGTTGATTTTCACTAGTGATCGGTCGGTTTCAAGTAACAAACTCTCCAACCCAAGCAAATTAGTTTGGTTGGCCAAACAATATGCAACTAAACCAAACCAAACGAATCGGTGAAAACTCTTAATTTCAACTAAATTAATAGTTTAATTCTAAAAAATAACAATAGTTAAATCTCCAATAATTATTGAAAATTTATAGCAAAAATACACAAATTAAATATATTATAATTAACTTTGTGTTTCTAATAAATTTTTTAAATTTATTACATAATTTCATTATTTAACCTATTTTTATTTTTTAAATAATGTTTAAAATATGCCTTAGTTATTAATTTTTATGATATTTAAAATATTTAAAAATTATTTATTTATAGTATTATTTAATTATTTTATAAATTATTTATATTTTATATTCTTATTAAATAATATTTGAAGTATGATTTAGTTATTATTTTTTTTTTGATATTTAGAACACTTAAAGTTAGCTATTTACAATATTACTTAGTTATTTAAATAATATCATTAGTTGAAATTTTAAAATATTAATTATTTATTTAATTTAATAATCCATAATATTATACTTTATACTATTTTGAATATATATTATGAAATCTATTATAATTATTTTTATATTTTTAAGATTTTTTTTTCAAAATATTACATAATTTCTTTATTTTAACTATTTAAAATTTAGTTATGTTCATTATTTCATTATGTAAAATACTTAGTTATTTAAATAATATGTAAAATATTTAATTTTTTTATTATTTAAATTTTATTTATTTTAGAGTTATTATGATTTAGCTGTTTTTTAATATTTTGTTATTTAAAATATTTAATTATGGGAATGTTGATTTACACATTTAGATGTAGTGTTTTCTCACCGTCGTTGACCCAGATGGTTGGACTGTTCCACTTGGGAACTGTCTAGGCAACCAGTCCCGTTTCACCCTTAACCTGGTCCTTGGCAAAAAACCATTGATTTGGTTAGTGACCCGCTGACCTAGGCATTCAAACCGTTGACCCATTCAACCTATTCAATAGTTTTTGGCTGTTTTTTATTTTATCTTTATTTTATTTTTTATTTTTTTTTTAATTTTTTAAGTTGGAATGGGATGTCCGTTCGAACTAAATGGTCGAACCGCTGACCTAGAAATCGATGGACATAATGGTTTCAGTTCTGGGTTGGGTTTTAAAACCTTGTTTAGATGTGTGTTCTCCAAAATTAAAAAAAAAAAAAATTAAAATAGCTAAAGAAAAGCCAACTTAGATGGCCTTATGTGTTTAGGTGAGATGTATTTGTAGTTAACAATTTTCTTGGTTAGTTGATAGACTTGAATTTTAAAGGTGGATTTACTCACTCTCACTTTCCTAATTTATTGGGCAAGAAAATTGGAATTTAGCATGTTAGATAGCAACTCCATAGGTTTTTAGAGGAAATCTTGCACCCCCTCTAGAATTACTTTATTAAGATAATGGAGCACAAAGAGGCTATCTGACATGGCATATCATTAACTTAATATATATAAATAGGACCGAGGATCCCACTTGTAAGCAAAAAATATGATAGTCTCTAGGGTGTAGTCTTGGCCAGGGGTGAGAATTTCGACAAATCAAGTTAGTTGAGGTCATTAAAAGCAAGAGTGAGTAAGAGAGCAAGAATGTGTAAGAGGGATTCCTATAGTTTCTTGTAGGTGAGGCCCTATTGAATGTCATATTAAAGGGGCTTTGAAGTGGCTCTTGAAGTTGGCTCGCAATGAATGCTGACCCCATCAAAAACAAAGACCATGTGGCCGAACGTTACGTTACTCTGGCATTTAATGAGCTTGGGCGCTAGGACAAGGTCATAATGGACAGAAGGAGGTCGCCATTAAGATGGGCTAAATCTCACAATTGCCCTTCAAAGCCTGTGAAAGGACAAGGCTGCACCCAAAGCTGCCACATATTACACACCAATTGAGCTGAACAATTTAGTTATATCACATGCCCCCATTTCTGAGGTTGGCTTTGGGTGAAGGAAGTAATATGGTTAGGCTGAGAGAAAGCCCATCGCACTGATGCAAAGTTCTTCATGTGGTCTGGGAATTGGTGGAATGAGACAGTTCCAATTCGTCGAACCATCAAATTGTCAAGCTTGGGACGCAAAGCGACAACTCAGGAATTAGCATGCTGATGAGGTGTTGTTTCGGTTTTCAAGGCTCTCCACGTGGCATCTATTAGCATAGGGAGACTAAGTGACATGATTCTCACCTATAAAAGTGGAGAGAGTGGAGATAAATTTCTCACCATTTGCTTCTCCTCCACTGTTCTTAAGTAGGTTATCCAGCTCTCTTCAGCTCATCTCAAATCATCTTCGTCTTCCTACTTCATCCACTACGGTCTCCGCAAGTTTCCTCCCTTTTAACGTGTCTTTGGGTTTAGAGCGTAAGGCGTATGAGCTGCTAGATTGGGATTCCCCTTAGAAAGCGAGACCCTTGAGATAGTTCCTTTCATAGTTGAGCTTGTTGCACTGAAGGGGGTTAGGTCTAAGTTGGAGTG